ATGGCGTAAAATTTCCGTATCGGTTTAAATCCAATGATTTTCAAGTTTTTGGAAAATTCATGCGAGATGAAGAACCAATTGATGATATAATAATTAAATTTGATACTTTGAGCGCACAAGGATTTTTAATATTTGTAGAAAATTTGGAAAATTAGTAAGTTTTTTTGCTTTAATATAAAATGTCAATATAACCAATTATTAATAATTTTTTAGCATGTTCATAGATGTAGGCCCACAACTACAAATTGTTTGGATATTAATAGGAATACCTGCTAAAGTTGGATATTTTAGCTCAAATACACGAAAAATCAAAATTTTGAGTTCTGGTCTTAGTAAGTTTGCATCAGAATTAAACGCAAACAATTATTTTGTTGAATTAAAAGTTCCAAAAAATTTGCCACGAAATTCTGTTATTATTACATCATTTATATGTCCATCTTCAAATTATGAACCAAATTTCATAGCAAAATTGTATAATCAACAAGATAATAAAATCTTAGTTAAGATACGTTATCTTGATAGTGATAAAGGCGATGATGAAAACGAATATAATTCTAATGATTTATTGTCACTTGGTAACTACTATCGAAATGAAATTGGAATTGAAGAAAACGAAAAAAATGCATTTAATTATTATAAAAATTCTGCAAATATGGGTAATTCTGAAGCAACATATTGGGTTGGGTATTGTTATAGAAATGGAATTGGCGTTAAAAAGGATGAAACATTTCATTATTATCAGGAATCTGCAAACATGGGTAATTCTAAAGGAACATATTGGGTTGGATACTGTTATAGAAATGGAATTTGTGTTGAAAAGGATGAAACAAAAGCATTTTATTATTATCAGAAATCTGCAGATATGGGTAATTCTGAAGGAATATGTTGGGTTGGACATTGTTATAGAAATGGAATTGGTGTTGAAAAGGACGAAAAAAAAGCATTTGAGTATTACCAGAAATCTGCAAATATGAGTAATTCTGAAGGAATATATTGGACTGGATATTGTTATGGGAATGGAATTGGCGTTGAAAAGAACGAAAAAAATAATTATGTGGCTTTTGAATTGTATAAAAAATCTGCTGATATGGGTTATAATGATGGAAACATTATGGTTGGTGAATGTTATACGCAAGGAATTGGAATTGAAAAGAATGAACTTAAAGCTCTCGAGCATTATAAAAAGGTTGCTGAAAATTATATGAAAAAGAGTATATTTACAGGTAATTTAAAATAATTCTCATTATATTGAAATCATCTGTTCTATAAATGACAATATAAAAGGAGCTAACATAAAAATAAATAAACCTAAACATAAAGAATTTTGTAACCATGAA